TTCAAACCATGAACATGTACTATCACCAGCTAATAGTACATTGTGCTGGGACAAGTCTCTCCCCTTCAGGATAACAGTGTAACTTGAAAAGGCAGACCCTAGTTCTTCTATGTAGAAATAAAGAAAATAAAGATGATCAAAATATTTTTGCTAGCACTAAACCTTACATCCATCTCTCCTTGATCGATCACATAGAAGTTATCCCCTTCATCACCTGAAAGAAAGAAACATATTAAAATGTATACAAGCAAACCCAAAACTATCATGTTAACAAACAATACCTAACTTTATAGTAGTGCCGAGAGAAAAGAACATGTTGTAAATTAACAATTTTTCAGGAAAAGATGTCTACCCATATATTACAAAGGTCATAAATTGACCAGTTATTTGGTCACTTCATGATAATAAAAATAATTTTAAATTGTCCATTGTGTACAAAGGTATTAATGGCTAGCTCTACAACAACAAAACATAAACTCCAACAGTCAGTGCAGTATCAGATTGCCACAAAGCAGGAAAATGTCTTTTAGTGAGATTATGGAAGTATCTATAGAGTAAATAAGGGGGGAAAAGAGAAATACTCAAACGATTAGATGCATACTAGTAGCATTCATGGGGGGAAATGTAAAACTCAGTAGAAGCACAGACCTTGTGAACAGGTGGCCCTTACAAAGCTTTAAATGTTCTGTTTATCCCCCTCCACAGGTGGCTGGTTACTCATCAATATAAAGGATATCAAAATACACACAGGCTGAAAATTTTATACAACACTCAGAATAAAAACCCAAACATTGCCTTTAGTAGTTACTATAAATAAAACTAAATCAGATGATAGGAAAATATTAGTCTCTTAGGCAAAGTCTGTCTAGCTCAGAGGACTGAAACAAAAAATAAAAGTGTAACAAAAGGAAAATGGTCAGCTTAAAGAAGAAAGCAATTAAAATCAATTAAAAAGCCACATGGTCTCATGTCTCCCACCCTACCATGTGCCATCAAAACAGCAGCCCTGAACCCTCCCTGGTGGCGCAACAGGTAAAGCACAGCACTATAAAGCTAGCCGCAGCCTTTGGCACAGGTTCGATCCCAGCCAGGGGGTGACACACTGGGCACAGCCAACAGCTCCTGTCTCACCCGCGGCTCCCCTCAAAAGAGTATTTAATAATTCAATCTGCCTGTTCTGCTCCCCTCTCTGTCTGAATTTTCTCATCACCCATGTATGTCTGGCCTGTACCCCAGTTCTGTATGCTTAAATAAATCTTACAAAAAAAAAAAAAAGAAAGAAAGAAAGGCAGCCCTTACCTTGCTGAATAACTGTCTCTCCAGCAATAAAGGAAACCGGGAACATGGCATCAAAAATGTCACTACAAGGGAAAGTAAGCCTCCAATTAACACTACACATGTCTTTCAATGGATTTCAAACATTAACCTGAGATTCAAAGCTCCCAAATATTCAGCCTGAATGCCAGCAGGGGATTATGTGAAGGGTCTTAAAGCTCAGAACAATGTGACCAGGTGGGGCCAGATGTATGAAATAAGGAGCAGGTGGTACCCACCTTCTCTCATTATCATCCAGATGTGAAAACAGCACATTCTTTTCAATGGCTTTGGCTAAAGCAGCCATTGTCTTATAATCTTTCGGTATAACCTAGAAAAGAAAGTCAAACGTTAATTCCATAAACCAAAAACATTTCATGTTTGCAACCTGCATTTCAATTAAATGTCAAGCCACCTTGTGGCATTTAAATAGGACTGCTTTGAATTAAACTATTTTCATCACAATGCAACTGTACTATCTTTGAGCCACACAAAAAAAAGAACACTCAACAAATAGCCTCCTCCCCTTTGTCCAGTCAGGATTATATTTAAAGGCTGGTGTTTGGTTCCCAGTCAACTAAGGAAACAAATTAAAAACACCTTGATCAAAGTCATTACTGAGGAGAAAGCAAGCACTTTTTTGACTATTAGTCATTTTCAAACCATGAACATGTACTATTAGTTTCACCAGCTAATAGTACATTGTGCTGGGACAAGTCTCTCCCCTTCAGGATAACAGTGTAACTTGAAAAGGCAGGCAGGCTCCAAGGAGGGGCAGATTAACATGAATGAAGCTGACAGAATAAGAAATTAAAAGTCACAGCATGAATTCCAGACGCCAAAAACTGACACCGTGATTCAAAAGCAAAAGGCATTCCACTACCGGCTCCTTCTACTGCGAAACAGGAGAGAGAGAAAACTCTCCAAATGCAGCTACTCACTGTTTTATAATCACATTTCTTCGATGGCATGTTATCACAGAAACCTTTCCCCAGGGCAGGAGAGGACACAAGCCACCCGCCGTGTCTCACCCGCGGGCCCCAGAGGCTTGTCACCAAAGAGATCGAGATCTCAGAACTACCTTTCTGACGTAGGACGCCGCATCCTCCTCCGTGTAGACTTCCGCGCTGATAGCACCCCGTCGCCTCCGGCCCTTAACCACAGGGTTGGGAGGAGGAGGAGAAATCTCATCCTCCCTGGAGTCAGCACGACTGCTTGCTTTCTGCAGATTCTGAATTTGTTTTGCCTCCTCCTGAAATAAATGAACTGGTTTAGAAAATGAGATCCCTTAGCACATAAAGTCTGGTATTCTCATCTTCCAACGAGCGCTCATTTCAGTCACTTCAGCTATCTCCCACCATTACCAGTGCAAGAGTTAAGTGGGAAGGTTGATTCCAAACAGGAGAAAGATGGAGTCAAGTTTGAACAGAAACATTCTGAAAGGACTACAGTTTCTCAGATCACAAATTCTACACTAATAAACAAAAGCTCTTAGTACAGGAACACACCATGTGCAAGAAAAAAAAAATTAGATTCTTACTGTATTGACAATGTGGATCGTAATATATCCAACAGTTTAAAAAAAAAAAAATCCTGGAGAATTAGGTTTTCTGAATGCATGAGACACCCTCCCCCAAAAAAGAATGTTATCTAGAAATACCAACTCACACAGTAAAGTGACCCAGGAATGTGTACATTTCTGGGCTCATTCAGTAAGTATCCCCTAGATCTGCCATGCCACATCTAGGCAAGGGGAATGTGAAAACCAACAGGAGAGGGTGAAACTAACATTCTAGATGGGAGTCTTGATATAAGCAAAAGAAATGATGTGATGATAACCAAGAGTCAAAGAAAGAGCAGCTCTAATAATAATTCTCCCAGGGGTCATTAAAAAGGAAAATGAGGCCCTCCCTGGTGGCGCAGCGGGTTAAAGCACAGCACTGAGAATCTGAAGCCGCTTCCGCATGAGTTCGATTCCCGCCTGCCCCGGAGGTGACCACATGGCGTGGCAGACCTCTCCTGACCCGCCCGCTGCTCCCCTCAGCAGTGTACTTCGTGGATCTGCCTGTTCTGCTCCCCACTCTGTCTCTGGTGAAGCCTCTCACCCTCCGCATCTCTGGCCTGTACCCCAGTTCTGTATGAATAAATAAATAAATCTTAAAAAAAAAAAAAAGGAAAATGAAAAGAAGCATTCTTTAGTATCAGGGCTTACAGTCAAAGCAAGCGGTTGCCTGCTTTTAAAACCTTCCTATGAACCTTCCTTCATATAAAAACAGATGAATTATTTAACATTCTTATTATTCAGCTCTACAATCTTAAAAAGAAATTCCACTCGGGCCTACAGTGAAGAATGAGCTATACTATGAGAGAAAATAAGAATAAAAGTCAAATGGAGTACCTACTACTTTCTCTTTCACTTGTCTCACTCTCCATTATTTTTCTAAGCCAGCTTTCGAGTTCTAAATGAAATTATTTTGTCTTTTATTCCCCAGAAATTTTGATTATAAAATGAAATTAAGGAGATGCCTACTTTTTCTCCTGCTACATGATACTCAGTGCCGCTTTTAGCACCAAAACACAGGAAACATGCAGAACTACACGTGTGTGTATGTGTGCATAAATATATGCAGCAGAAAAGTCTAGAATAACTATCAAGGAATAATGTTAATTTCATTAATAATGACATTATACCTAATTTTAATTTTCTTTTTTAGTGAGGCATTGGTTATTTTTCTTATTTCTCTGAATTTTCTGATTTTTAATTTTAAAAAGCAATTAGAAAAACAAAACAAGAATGCTGCTAATATATATATGTATGTTTAATTACAAATGCGTTTATTTCTTGATCCAATAATCCAGTAATTCTACTCCAGGAATTTATCCCACAATATGCGAGACGATGTATCTGCCGAGTTATTGCCTTCAATAGCAAAACACTGGAAGGAACAGGCAGCTTTTCTGTGTATAAATTTTTCTCTGACACCATGTTATCATCTTAGCTGCAGTCAAGAAAGACAACAGCTGGAAGGGAGACTTTTTATTGTGCCCTTTTCCTGTAGGTACAAATACGTAACCAATCAAAAAACTTCTGAGATCTCAATTCACCTTCAGGTTAGTTATTACAATACCCAGCAAAATGTTCCCATTGCATATTAATAAGTAATTGTAAAATTCAAGGCTCTTAACATTTAAAGGGTATAAATGACAACTGAGATCCTTGGTTTCAAGTCTGTATGAGATGCATGATACATTTCTATGTCCCTTTCTTGATGTTATCATTTGCTGTCGGCCTCAATTCTTTCTCTTGTTAAAGCAAAAAACAAAGCCCCTCTCAATCTACTTACAACACTTGTCTCCTTGCCTGTCATTCTTCCCCATAGGTGAAGAGCTTCCCACTGCACCGACTTGGGGCTCAACCATGACAGTACTCTGGCCAGACACGCCATGTCCACTGTCACTGTTCTGGCCCCTCTGCCTGGAAAACAGCATGCTCTCCAGCATGACTGCTCCCTCCACTCAGGCCCTCAAGAAGACACCAGAGTCAAGGAGTCAAGATGGGCTGAGCCCAGAAGAGCCACAGCCACTGAGAGGTTTCCGCAGAAAGCCACTGAAAGTGGAAGGGGGGGTTGGGGGATGGAGTGTGCATGCTGTTGCTACAAAGCTAACTACCACCCTGTACTGATCACAGCCAAGTTAGTCTCTTTTGAACTGCTACCTCTGTAAAAGGGTGATGATCACTAACCTCACACATCTGAACCACATTAGGTATATAAAATGCTTCACATAATACCTGGCAAGCAGGAGCTAATGGTCCTAAGCTATTAAAACTACACCATCAGGGCCCTCCCTGGTGGTGCAATGGCTTAAAGCCACTGTGAAGCGCTGTGCGGCCACTGCAGCATGAGTTCGATGCCAGGCCAGGGAGTGACCCTGGCGCTGTAGACCTCTCCTGTCCTATCCACTGCTCCCCTCAGCAGTGGATTTCAGTAGATCTGCCTGTTCTGCTGCACCCCCACTCTGTCTCTGGTGAACCCTCTCTTACCACTGCACCTCTGGCCTATACCTGAGATCTTCAATACATAAATAAATCTTTTAAAAAAAATAAAATTCCCCTATCAGACTGGAAATTTTCTAATATATTCATAAGAGGACTCAAATTCCAGACGGTAGTTTGAAAATGCAGCTTTCAATGGACCAACTGTGTTTTTGTGAGTAGCTGAAGGCACCAGAATCACCCGTCACTGCATATTTTCACAGAAATCTTAATACCAAATGTACAGAACAATGACCTGCTGAAAAGCTGAAAATTTAATCACTTGAAAGTCCAAACATTTTATTCACTCCAAGCAAAAGGAATGCAGTGAACAAAGCCCCCTGATTATATGAAAAAGTATGTTCAGTTGTGACCTTCATTAAAAAGTAAAATATGGGCCCTCCCTGGTGGCACAGTGGGTTAAAGCAACACAGCACTAAGAAGCTAAACCCACTTCAGCTTGAGTTCGATCCCTGCCCTGGAGGTGATCCACACCGCCAGGCAGACCTCTTCTGACCTGCCCGCTGTTCCCCTCAGCAGTGGACTTCATCAGTCAGCCTGTTCTGCTCCCCACTCTGTCTCTGGTGAATCCTCTCACTACCCCACACCTGTGGCCTGCACCCCAGTTCTGTATGTATAATTAAATAAATCTTAAAAAAAAAAAAAAGTACAATAAACCAACACACTTTACATCTAAAAATCCTATCTGCAAGGAAACTAATCGTGAATTCTTGCTTTCCCCTTTGGGTGGTACCTAGCCAGTGGTGTGGTAAATTCAGGCTTTGAAACTAACACCAGCATTCAACACTCCCTATAAAAAGATGCACTTCATGTCTCCTCAACTTCGTTCCTCATTTGAAGGTTCCCACTGATGTCCAAAGAGAAAAGGGATCACCTTACAGTGACCCATTTCAGAATCAGATCTCCAGGAACACACTTGATTTCAAAACAAGGCCCGCCCGTGGCAGCTGGCTCGACAGTGCTTCACCACTTGGGAAGTGCTTAAACAGAGAAAACCAAACATCCTACACTTCTAAGACAGCAAAACTCATTCGCAGGGACTGACTAGCTGCTTGTTCTTTTCAGACTGTTCTAATCATGGTACTAATGATCAATTTTAACAAACAGCTTTTCAAAACAGCAGAAAAATGCCTGATCACTAAGCCGCCCAAATATTTAAGTCTTAGTAGTCTTTCTTTTAATAAGTTACGCTGATTAAGAAGCTGCCCATGGCATGGAAAAGTAGTGCAGATTTTCTATATACCATCAGATAATGAATGACCACAGACCTGTGAAATGCCTATATTCATTATGAACTTCATCAAAACTTCATGTTCAAGAAAATCTACAAATTTATCTTGCTAACTTACAGAAATAAATCAACTACTCAAAACATTTAGTGATTCACATTTTCTCATTATTTCTTGAGAGAGTGTATTAAAGGATTACCTTGATGCAAAATGACTATCATCATTTTGCTTAGGAAAGCGTATACCGGGACTCCCTGGTGGCACAAGGGGTTAAATCTCAGCACTATGAAACTATCTGTAGCCACTCAACTCCTTTGATCGCCCGCCAGGGAGGTGACCCACAAGAAGCAGCAGGCTTCACCTGTCTCTCCGCTGCTCCCCTCAGCAGTGTATTTTAGTAGATCTGCCTGTTCTGCTCCCCAGTGTCTCTGGTGAATCCTCTCACCCCTGCACATCTGGCCTGTACCCCAGTTCTTTAAAAAGAAAAGTATATACCAGATACTTAAGTCACACTGACAGGCTTTTACAGAGTAAAAGCCGTATTAATATTTTTTTCAAGAGGAAACAAGCTATGACCACAACTATTAAATAAAATTTGGACAATCCCTAATCATGATAGCCCTGCTCTACAGTCAATTCATCTGAGAGAGACGCGGTAAAACGGACTTGGCTAACCCAGAATTGCTGAAGGGACCTGTCGGCTCAACTCAGAGTGTCAGTGTTGGCTTTAAAAAGTGGGCTGAGTTTTATGAAGTTTTCTTTCTCTGTTGAAGTAAAGTATTAATTACTGTCAAGTACTGTAAAACTTCTCGTTTCAGACGCCAACTACTTCTGCTGATCAATTGCTCCCAGTCATTTTAATAAGCATTGTATATTCAGGCTAGAAGCAATTACACTGGGAAGTCCCATGTCATAAACCAAACTCAGCACAGATTTGTTTTGATAAATTCTGATGAGAAAGTCAAAAATGTAGTGCTAATATCCTAAGTGCACTCATTCTGAGAAATTCTACTTTAGACATCGTCTCTGGTCACAATTTTTTTCCTTCCAAGATAGACAGATCAGTGACATTCTACATTACACCTACCAACTGTCAGGGTCACCGCACCCCCTGCCCCCGTTTATTTTTACCTTCTCCAGTCTCTCAAAGTACTCCCTGAGGAAGGCCATGGGCCTCTCGGGCCGGGCAGTGCACAGCTGCACGATAGAGTCTTTGAGCAGCGCCTGGATGTTGTGCTTCTGGACATAGAGCTCGCACTCGCGGAGGCTGCGCTCCTCCTCACAGGCGGCGCTGCTGCCAGACGCCATGGTCTCTGCAAGGAAAGACCACACATGCCGTGTAAGTGACCGATCAAGGGCAAATACCAATTGGGCCTTTGACTTAACAAATGCATGAAGCAACTGAGTCACAGACCTTTTTTTCTCACCAAGTAGGTTTTTCCCCAACAGGGAGGTGGGGGCCAGGGAAAACACTATCTGGAGAAACTGCATCTTCCAGAGCGCTTCCTGGGCCCACCTCTGCAGGCAGCAAGTCTGAGAGGCAATGACCTCAGCTCCTGGGAGGAGCAGAGCCACTATCCCCTGCAGAGGCGGCTGCAGGGGAGTCAGGCCCTTAGGGGAATTTCATTCAGTTCAAACCCTGCACAAAAGAAATCATGATGACGCGAGAAGTGTGTAACCGGTAAACAGGACAGAGGATTACAAGGGCACACAAGTCTGCTCTCAGGGAAAGCAAGTAAGCACAAAGGAGAACATCTGACATGCCCGATATGCGTAACGCCTATCCCGAGGGAGAGGCCTAAGGTCACCGGGCACACCACTGAACAAGGGATCTGATTAGCCAACTACTAAGGTAATCAAAAATTAAGCACACAAACGGAAGCCAAGATGAATTCTAAAAGCAATCTTACTCCAGAATCTTCTATCAGACTCCACCCCTGAATGATAACACACTTACCTACAGGTGAGAGGGAAAATACTTAGTGAGTAAAAAAGTCTTCCTAATAACTAAATGAAAGAATGGGTCAGGGAAGTGTCAAAAATATTTCCTTCACCTGGACAGGAAAGCACATTAGAGTTTAAACTTAGATGAACGTTCAATAAACTAAATACACTTTAGAGGATTCAAACTACCTTGAAATTAAGTAAAATAGTAATGTGTAGGTTACAGTAATGAGTATCTAACCTTAACCTGGGATTAAAACTTTGGCAATTTAACAAAGAGTGAGCAGCCTTTCCTTCCAATTCCTAATGACTAAAAATGGTGAGATATAAGCAAGAGTCAGTCCCTCCACTCTGCCGCTGAAAGCCATACTAATTTGACTTTTCCAACTATAACGCACTCAAAGCCACTGACATGAAACTATAAATATAAAAGCAGAGAAACAGAAATTCCGAAGTTAAGAGCTAAAGTGCTACCCTATTACTCATTTTGTTTTGACAACTTTCATGCTAAAGGTCAGTGACAGGCTAATTACCAGAGACCATGAGAAAATCTGCAGCTCCATGACAAGCACATAAGCTAGAGACCACAGAAAAAGAATCAACAGACACTCCAGGGAAGGGAAAAAAAAAAAAAAAACTCAAAAAAAGTTCATTTACTTTAGCGTAGATTTGTAACTATTCTTCAAGTGTAGACAATCTTATGAACTGAGAATCCATTTTCAGCAGGATTTTCTGCATTTCAATAACACTGAAGGCCCTAATACTGAAAGCCACCCAAAGCAATGATAAATCAGATCTTTTATGCTTCAAAACACTCGGACATATTCCAGGAAAGCAGATTGTATTTAGAAAAATACATAGTACACTAGAGTCAGAGAGATCATCCTCTGATTAGATCGGGGTAGGGCAAGGCAGAAATGAAAAGGGGGGGAGGGTCTACGAGATGAAACTGGTCTGTTTGAAACTCTGTATTAAAAAGACCAAAAAGAAGACACCAGTAAAAAGACAGCACATTAACAAAACTGTCCACATGAACGCAGCCACCACTGAACCCCTGAATATCCAAATTTCATAGTCTTAGGACCTTTAGCCAAAATTGCCTAGATAAACCCTAGAAATCTAGGGGTTTACATGCCCGACCATACCCCCGAAATCAAGTACTTCAAAACTTCCACTGCAGTCTCTATAAGAAAACCTCATATTCTTTCTTTTGGAGATGCAACTGTGACAAAACTCGGTTTCAAAAGGGATTGGGGGGAAGCATATTTATAAGACTTTGAGAAACCGCTGCTGATTCAGACCGCACCCCCTCAGACCTGCCAAGAACATTTCCTTGGGGTCATCTCGAGGAAGTGTTAGCTTTCTTTCCCCCGATGAAAAGACCAATCTCCAGGGAATCTCTTAAGTAGTTAAATCCTTTGGCACGGGACGTGCGCTGCGCTGGAAGAGTTAACAGGTACCGCGGGTTTCCGAGAGGAAGGACAGGAAAGTGTCCTTCATGTCACTTGTGCCCACACTCGTGGTCACAAAATGCGGACGGGAGGCCGATCCTCCATCCTGCTCCAGCCGGAAGGCCACAGCGGTGGTGAAAGGCCTCGAGGGAGAGGGGGTGGGGAGGAATCCAGACAGGGGCGAGGAAGAGCGGACAAAAGGAAATTTAGGAGCCAGACGAAGGTGCGGGTGGGGGTGGGAATCCCGGGGAGAGAGGGAGAACGACTGCTGGGGATGACGAGGCGGCCGAGAGGAAACCAAGGGCTGGCGGCCTCGCGAAAGGCCGCGGAACGATGGCGGCTCGC